GGCCCAGCCAGGTCTCAGTAATACATGCCAGGTCTGCCCTCTCATCTAAAATTAAGTCCCGGACCTGGCATTTAGCGACAACAGCCTGAGACCAGGGTCCTGACTACTTGCGCCATCTGGTCTTGGAGTGGGACTCCCAGGGCCGGAAGGAGGGATCTCTGAAATGCAGCGAACCCTCCTTCCCCGGTAATGGCCTGCCCTGAAGTCACCGCCGTATCTGCCCCTCCCTGTTACGACCGCAATACCCCGACCCTCTCCCGTGTCTCTGGTCCCCTCAACCACCCCCGTAGCCCCCGCAACTCCCGGCAGGTCCTCCGAATCACATATACTCATACACTCCCCCAAACAGTCCCCACGTAAAAGTTAAAAAACACAAAATTTACAACAATATGATCATAAAAGTGGGACATTCATTCATCTCATACGTACCTCATACATAGCCCATGCAAAGAAAGAAGAAAAAGATGAAAGAAAAGAAAGAACTTTGCTTGTCAGAATGTCACAAAAGGTGATCACGTGATCCTGGACACTACAACCTCATAAATGTAAACCAGTTGCCAACCATTTAAATTTTGATCACATGACCATGGGGATGCTGTATGAAAAATAGTCATAAATCATTTTTTCCATGATGGAGCTTTGGTCACCAAATGAATTGTTTTAAGTCAAGGACTATTTTCCTTTTTCCTTTGTTGACCATACATAGCTTCTGACAGTGTACTCCAATTGTAATTATCTCGTTAAAAGATGGGTGTACTGAAAAATAGATATGAAGACCAGGAAATAATAGTTCAAATGGAATATGGATCTACTAAATGCTTCTAAATTGGATAACCCTAACCGTATCCATTTAATATCTGTTGAATATGTCATGAGAAATGCCTAAATAAAAGATATAAAAACTGGCATTATAATTATTGGGAGAAACATAACCTCAGATACGCAGCTGGTATAATGCAAGGAAGATTTTAAGGGCTTGTTGAAAGTAGAAAGAAAGTGCAGAAACTGATCAGCCATTGAAGACTTGAAAGGTTTTGTTTTCAATGTGTCTGTTTTACTATTTCAGATTTGTATTTTTTGTCTTCTAATGTTTATATTAATTGTATGCCTCAGGAGATGTAATTAGACTGAACACAGTGAAAATTGTTAGAAATAATAAATGTTAGTTTAAACTATTAATAAACATTCAAGTAGAAATTAGATTAAGCCTCTTGATCAATTATCACAATCAAGTTTGTGAGGCTATAAGAGAAGCCATTTTTTACATTAGGTTGTAATGCTGAATTTTAGGAAAGTTTAAACTCTCTTCTATGAATATATTAAGAAAAGACTATAATCTGTACTGTTTCTTTTGCAATATTTTTCAAGTCAACTTTGTGCAATATACATTAATGTAACATATGCAAGAATAGACTTAGACTTTATTATAACTTTATTGTCATTTTAAATGTACACTAATCGGCATACGTTAAAATGAAATTTCATTGCATACAGCTCTCAAAGGGTCACCTCCTCTAATATACACTTCATAAACATGACAAAAATGTGCATACACCCATGCCCACATATATTATAGACATAAACAGCATAGTCTAATTTGGATGTATGCATGTACATGGCAAGAAAAACGAATCCTGCAATTGTACCCGACGGATGGCATAGGGAATAAAGCTGTTACATAATCTGGTAGTCCTATTAGAAATACTTTGAAACCTCCCTGGGGGGAGCAACAAATCAGACCATGAAGTGGGTGTGTAGGGTCTCTAACAAGGCTTCGAATGTAAGCATGTAGTGCTTATAAGCAGTAACAGGAAGCAAACTTACTATAATCTTCTTGCTGTCCTTACTACTCTCTGTATGGACCTTCTAGCTGAGTCATTGCTACCACCAAACCAAACCAAACCATAATGCAGTTTGTTAAAACACACTCAATCATGCCTCTATAAAAAGTAGCCAAGACAGAAGAAGAAAGATGGTAATGTAATAGGTAATGTTTTAAATGTGTGATGGTTGTTTTCACAAAATAATTCCTATGCAACAACTTACCTATTTACAAAATGATTGCCGTGTTAGATATGGCTGCTTACAAAATACAAAAGCCAAATTGATGTTTTTATTTGCCACCCATCCTAATTTATCTTCATCTCTTTTCTTCTAGTAAGGTTTCATATACCATTTTATTTTCTAAGAATGCCTATGGAGCCTATATAAGACCCAGAGGCATTTTTTGGAAATAAAGCTAAGGATAAAGGCTGAGAATTCACAGCAGAGTAACTTCTCATTAAAAATAAGTTTACAAATAAGAGTTCTTTAAAAAGTAGAGATGGGCAAATAACCTAAAAAAGCAGTAAGAGGAGGTAATGTTTATATTAGCATCTGTAGGCATCATATTACTTGATAGATTTAGAACCAATGATATAATATACTGATTCCATCCAGATTTTCATTGAAGTATTACATATGCCATAATTTTGTGTTAATTTTCAGCGATATAGAAGAAATTTTCTGAATTTTGATACAAAAATTTGAGACAGAAGATAAAACATGTAATAAAACTGAAAAATCAGTTTTTAAGGAAGCATGATTTTTTGATGAATGAGATCTAGGTTCTATATTATTTTTCTCTCAGGGTTTTCATTTAAAAAAAAAATTTAACAAATAAAAAAATGAGGATATTTGCTTAAGTGAACAATGCATTATAGTAATCTTTGTCTTCACTCAAATATGTTTTATATAAAATATATAATAAAATACTTTATATATGTGTATAGAATTGTGTTTGTGTGTTTTAAAGACAATACTCCCCTCTTTTTTGCTCTCTATCAAAAAGCATCTTTTAATAGTCATTGGGAATTTTGTGCGATATTGCTGACACAGAAATCTTTGGGGCAAGCATGAATATTTTTCACTTGTACCCAGTTTTGGATATTTACAGTATCCAGTCTTAGGTAGAGCACATGTTACACTTCTGTTATATGAACTGCATTGGTTACCAGTCTGTTTCCAGGTCAAATTCAAGGTACTTCAGAGGTTGACCTATGAAGCCCTACATGGCATACAACTGGGTTATTTGAGGGATTGCCCCTTTCCAGGTTCATCTCCCATCCCACCAGATCCAATAGAATAGGCATGTTACAGGATCTCTTGCCTAAGGAGATTCATTTGTTGGGTCCTAGGCACTCCACCTGTTCTGTCATGGCATCCACATTTGGGATCTTCTCCTAGAGATAAGGTTGGCCTCATCACTCCTAGGTTTTGAAGGACCCTCAAAACCTGGTTATGCCAGTAGGAGTGGGAAGTACATGGGATAGGTAACCTAATGAAGTATTATCCTTATTGTAATATATCTCCACCTATTGGTTTATTTTTGTTTTGTTTTTGTTTTTATAGTTAATGATTTTTAATAATTATTATATAATGCTTTTAGATAATGACTGTTTTATATCTTTGCTGTTTCATTGGATTGTTGTATATTGCCCAAGGTTGCTTAGGCAAAACGTGTGTGTGTTTGTGTGTGTGTAAGTATCTTCAAGTTTAGGAATAAACAAACTTTATTGTGTCCTATGCTATTGTGTCCTAAACTATTTCAATGATTTTTTTTAAAAAAAGAAAGATTTAGAGAAAGTAAAACAAGTTTAAGTTATTTGGCTAATGAAATCATAAACATCACTTCTCTTTTTAGTCTCAATGTGCCCAATATGCTGCTGATAGAAGAGAAGAGGAGAAGATGTGTGATCATCTTATCAGTGCAGCCAAGCATCGTGATCATGTTACAGCAAATCAGCTAAAGCAGAAAATACTGAATATTCTTACTAATAAGCATGGTGCTTGGGGAGCTGTTTCATATAGGTATGTTGTTAATTAATCATTATAGGAATGTTAATTATATGCTTCTGATCTGGTATTTTGAATGGATGTGAGCATTTGTGATACAAATAATCTAAATCGATTCCTGTTCATCCAATTATTACATTGTAAGCATAATCTGGAATTTAACCGATCTGTGAAGTACTCATTTAGCTTTCACTACTTCCTCTTTTTCTTTATGCTATCTTATTTCTTTCTCAGCCTTTATACTAACCCAATGAGCTCATTTCTTTCCTCATTTTTCTGAGGTGAGAACATATGATAAGCTTCTTTTGTAAATTTTGACAAAAGGAAGCAGGATGTACTACAGACTTGGAGATCTTGTGAGCAGTATCAGTATAACCAGTGAGCCCAAAGTCTATCAAATGGATTGACCATAATTAGAAAATGATAGCTCTAACCATAGCAGAGTATGACAGTATGAAGTAAAATTAAATTAACTTTCTTTGCAGATTTAGGTCAAGATCACTTCCATAGAGATGGATGAGGAAAAATAATGGTAGTTCTGTAATAAGAAAAAAATAAAGATACTCTTGAATTCAGCTCAGCTCCTCCTGATTGCATCCATTTGGTGACCTTGGTAGCATTCCTCTACATTGCCTTGTTTTTCCCAGAATTTTTTCTCCCAACTTCTCAGGCTAGTGGCTAGCCAATATTTTAGAATTCTCAAGTGGTCACTTGAAACACTAACCAGGGCTGGATTGGCTTAGTCATAATTGCCTTAGGTGATGTTTCCTGAAGCCCAATTCTACAATCACATAAGCAAAGCTAGATTGAATATTGAGTATGTTTTGAAAGTTGAAACTTGCACTGCATTGCACAAATTTGTGGAAATCTGCAGAGGTGATAGTTAAGGAATGGCTTCTTAATTATAGCAACAAAATTTTATAATCCTTTTACAGGGAATTTTATCTAGTCTTCCTATTAAGGAAAGTAAATAAAGTCTGCTTTGTTTTAACAGGTTTTCAAGAACAGTTGATTGAATTTTGTTTTATAGTCATTTAATACTTAGCTATTTTTAAGAATACTGTATGTATGTACTTATTTTTATTCATTTAAAAATATGACACACAAAATCACATTTATTGTAAAATTAGTTTAGAAAAGTACATGTACAAAGAATTAAAAGATGAACAAATGTTTTAATGGAACATGTTGATTTTTTTTAAAAAAACTCCACCTTTAAAAAAGTTGTCAATATTGAACGTAATAAGTCTCTTAAAAAACTTAAAATTTCTGACAATGAAACTTCATCGCTGCCCTTAGTGTTAAAGCTTTCTGAAATACAACTGTCTTCCTACATACCTCTGTAGGAAATTTTACATTTGGACAAAGATAAAATAAATCCAATTTTGATTGCTTGCCTTTAAAAGATTATATAGCTCTTCATTTATTATGGTGTACAAATAATCAGAGAGGTATAGCATAATCAGATTTTATGGTACTTTAATATTTCTTAATGAGTATCATCTTTATTTCTATTGGATTTCAGAAATATTCTGGCTGTGATATTTTATTTCTGTGTATATAAGCAAACAAACAAAAAAAGACATGTTAGGCATACTTATATTTCTGGTGGAAAGTAAGGGGCGCTTTAAAAAGTGGAAAAGTTTTGATGATGGTATTAATAATAATATCAATACAAGAATCATATTTTCTCTTGTAAAGCAGAAATCTTCTTTTGCCATGGTTAGTTTATTTTAAATGTTGCCTGGAGGAAAAAATATACTTTACATAATGCTATATAAAATAAACATGATCCTGCCTCAGTCAGGATCTTATCTCCAACAAATTTGCCCCATAAATAACAGAAGCTATAGATATTTATATTATCTATGTAGAGACCCTTCTCTGTTTAATGTTTAATTATTTATAATCCCACTTTTATTGTTTTTACAAATAACTCAAGCAGTGAACATAACTAATACTCTCTTATTTTTTGCACAACAGCCCTTTGCGGTGGGCTGTGCTGGCCCAAAGTCACCTTGCCAGCTTTCATGCCTAAAGTGAAAGTAAAACTCATAATCTGATTTCTAGCCTGATACCTTAATCACTAAACCAAACTTAATAGGGTTGAAACAATTTTTCAATTTTTAAAATATTTTAGTGCAATCATTCTATTTAAAGTTCTCTTACTTTTGAAATTTGTTCATGGGTTTAATACATGCGATTTCATACAGTAAGGCATCTTGTGTACTTTTACTACCTTTTACTATAACTGTAAATTTAATTCCTTTTAGCCATAGGTGGAATCTTTATAGCCTTAGCCTTCTGAGTCCAGGGCAACATTTTTTTCCTGTTTGAAGAGATTAATATGTAGAGTTTAATTTGCTTCTCTTGCACTATTTGCTATTTAGAAGTAATAGTAATAGATCTGTCTTAAAAAATCTGGCTCACAATAGCTATAATTATCCATAATAATGTTAAGCAGTATTGACTCCAGTATGTATTTATTTAAAATCAGTGTTGTGCCAAACCACAGAAGAAATTCATATTTCATTTCTTATATAATTTATTAAAAATAAATAGCATACAAAAGATAGGGCATATGAAGATCAGAATCATTTTCTGCCTGTGTGATAGTGCTTGAATAAAATATTTCTCCTCCTCTACTATCAAGCTCACATCAGTCCTGATTCTTGCCAGAGAAAATAATAAATTGGGATGGGGAGTCATTGCAGCTGAGGTAGTATGAAAGTATCCTTCCCAGTCATCAAGCAACAATTCTGTCATGCTTCCCCTCATCATTTGACATACATGTCCTTGGTCCAGCATGTAATAGAAATGTTAATAACTCTGATTCTGTCTGACAAGTGTTTCACATCTATACGCTGATCTCTGTTCACTGAGAGCAACATGTATGGAAAACTCTCAGTCCCTACAATTTTATGTATTCATACGTGGATGCTGCTTTCATTCCATTTATGTGAATGAAAAATGTTGCTGGACAAGTGTCTAACTCCAGTGAAATCAATTTATTATAGATAAACTTCATCTACATAATCTGCTGCACATCTAATTTATGTTCACAGCCACATCCTAGTTTCTTTTCACATGGAAATCTGTTGAAATGAAAGAAATATGTATAGGGCAGAAAAGGAGAAGTACAAAAAAGTACATTTCTTTCTCTTTGTCTTGCAATGATTCTATCTTTTTAAACATTGCTATTAATTGACAGCATTCTTCTCTTATAAAAATTTTAAAATATACTTTTTTTACAATGTATGTATATTTTTGCATGGTAACTAGACCACAGGAAATTAATCTACATCATAGTCTTAAACATTATTAATTTGAGACTCCTGTAATTTATAATGAAATATGTGATTTTACTATAATTTTTATAGGTTACATTTTAGTATTTCTGATTGGTGTCATTCCAAAGCTCTCAATTCAGAGGCCTCCAATTACAGACAAAGAACAAAGAACAGTTCTGGCATCAACACTTGGAATTATTTATTGCTTTATCTTATTTAAAATAGTTTTTTTTTAAAAGATCCAAAGTATTTTTTTAAAATCATCTACTAAAGCTTATTTAGAAAATATATTTAAAACATGCATTAAAGCATAATAGAACACATATCATGCTCTTCATCTTTATGACAGCATCTTCTTTTCTTCAGCAAATGATGATTATTTTTCATCAAACACGATAAAGCAATTTTCAAGCATGGAATGATGGAGTAGGGAGAGATAAATAGAAATATTAGATGAATGCTTCACAACTGGGGTAATATACGTGTCCAATTAGAATGGGACAGATGCGGGGGGGGGGGATAAAATCTCAAAGCTGAGCATCCTGACTACATAGAATGTTTTTTCATTCCATTCTATGTTAGCAGTGACTCTTTCTCTTACTGTATTTCACATATCTTTTAATAACCTTTTTGAATGAAAGTTTATGAAATAAATTTCAAGATTATTTTCTGTAAGCTGATGATATATGTTCTTTTCCTGAAGTTATATCAGAAAATCAATATTTGTAAAATTGAAACAGTATAGGTTTATATTGATCTATGTGGCTAAATCAAAACTACAGGCTTTGTAGCAGCTTTTTCAGACAGCTACCTACCAACCAGTGGCAACTATCAATTTTAGCTTTCTACTGATAAATCAGCTTGAAAATTGGATGTCAGATTTTTTCAGTGAAGTAGTGATTTTTTGTATGCCCTTTAACCTTTTCTTATATATTAGATTGGTTTATAAGGCTAAGCTTACCTTCTGTAGCCAATTTGTTACAGAGAGAGAGGGGGGAGGGAGAGAGAGGGAGGGAGGGAGGGAGGGAGAGAGAGAGAGAGAGAGAGAGAGAGAGAGAGAGAGAAACTTTTGAATGGGAATATTTGCGCAAATAAAGTTCTTGAAACAAATTTCATTTCCCATTTATATTTGCTTGTTGACTTAATTATAAGTATTTTCATATTTTCTTTCAAACATATACTTAATATTTTAGATAGATTTGCATTTGATTCCTGATATTTAAAATAAATTCTACCTTAATATGGCAGAAAGCATTGCTTTAATAAATAAGGAGAGCTTGATTTGTTTTTGTGATATTTAACAATTATTCTTACTACCACTTAGTTATTAAGCAAGAAATTCATTTGTTAAGTTCATATGTGTATTTCCTCTCCCTTTTTTAAAAAATGAGACAAATGGCTCTAAGTATCTTATGACTAAATCTCTTCTGAAAGTAGTTGTATAGTATTTGTTGACTCTACTCTAAATCATAAGTTAACTTAGAATATTGATTAAGAATTCTTCTGATGGATAATTACTATTTGCTGGAGAAAAATGTGGCATATATTGATCTAGACGGAAGTATTTCAGTAAGTTTCCCGTGGTTAATAGTGTTATGTATTAACAGTTGTTATAAAAAGTAACATAGAGGTACATTATAATTATTTTGTAATGAAATGGACGACTTTTATTCTTTTCTGAATCACCTTCATTTATATTTTGTTAAACTGAGCAGCTTTTTTTCT